ACGGCCCCCCCGGCCCTTGTGGGCTGGGGAGGCCGGTCCTCTTGATTTATGAGGTGCTTTGTCGCGTGAGCAGAAATAACGCGTGTTTCTATATTTATAATGTGTGTATACATAGATACGTGTATATATATATAGATGTACGTGTGTATATGTGTCTATATATACGTACACAGATGTATGTATAGAACTCCGTATCTGTGGGGCCTGTGCACTGTAGCACGCGAGGCCGTGCTCTTTGGCACCCACGAGCATCTCTACTACCTGTGCCTTGTGTTTTAATGCCCCCAGATCGGGAAATCGGGGTGTATTAGCTAAAACACTTCCCTTTTTCCGGTGTTTTGTATGTTTTTGGGCTCTCCTGTTCCTGAAGAAGCCAGGGGGTTGCATTTTTTCTGCGTTTTTGGCTCTGTAGATGCAGTGTTCTGTGAAGTAATTACCTTTGGAAAATTATGCCGCTGGTGAGGACAGGGGAACTACTAGTATGAAAAAATACTTGCTATTGAAAAAGAGAGGATATAACTGTAACTGATTTAAAACCGAGTGTTTTGCTGAGTAACAGTTTAGTCTGTTCATTCCCTTACTTTCTGTGTTTTGTTCACTGACAGTGGCCAGTGTCAGTGGTTGGACAGTGTCTTTGGTTCTCAGAAGAAATAATAATTTTGAAGGGGTACAGCTTGTTCACACTTCCCCCCCAAAATGGCTTTGGTCTCTTTAAAATTGTATTTCTCTGACATTGTGCCATAGTAATATCACAGGATACCTCTTTAGTTTTTTCCTATGTATTTGAGAATAGTTTGTGTACACATAATAGTACTGCTAATGTTTCTTTCTTTTTTTACTTAATCCAGTATGATTCCTCGCTTGTATGCAGTTGTGTTTTCACGAAATTTTTAATTGGAAACTGTTTAATAGCTACAGATGTAGCAGGCAGAGTATTAAACATGATCTGAATACAGATTATAATCTCTCTAGTATTTCATATGTTACTGTTTGCAGAGGCACTAACCTAGCTTTAAACAACCACAACAAAAAAAGGCCATATCTTATTTATTATTTTTTCTTCATTCAGGTTTATGGTAGGTGTAGAGTGATATTTGTTCTAACTGAACTTCTTGTTAATAACACTCATACTGTTGTTTTGTTTCTTACAGCATTGGTGAGGGAAAGCTTGCTTTTCAAGAAGTATTTATGACGTGTTGAGTAAACCTGGCCAAAAGCTAATGTCATCAGAAACGCCCACAGAAAGTCCAGAGGTGCCAACGGAAAATACCATGTCCCCCGAAATTCCTGATGTGGAAGGAGAGGTGAAGTCAAGTGACAATCTGGTAGAGAGACGGGAGGCAGGCTTAGACAAGGAAGAATGCCTCGAGTCCATGTCTAAGAGGCAAAGGAAGAAACTATTGAAGCAGAAACAGTGGGAAGAACAGAAAGATCTACGGAGGTATGGTTTCCAAAATGGCTTTCCTAGGATCGTCTGTAGTAGTTAGTGCTAATAATAATGATGTGTCAGCAAAATTTTAGGGTAGATTGCTTTAGTAAATCAAGACAGTTGAACTAGTTTTCTCCCATGCCAGGTTTAAAGCAGTAGGCACAGGCTACTCCATCTGCATATGAAGAAGCTATAAAGGTAAGCATCCTCTCCTCGTACTAGAAGTGTTCCTCGACTTGAAGAGGATATTGGGAGGAATTCAAACATGCATGGGTTTGGTTTGCAGAAGGGAGGAATAACATGTGGCCTTGTTCCTTTCTGAATGGGCTGCTCCCTCTTTAAAAAAATGGTGCTGTCAGACTTGGTGAATCTTTCTTTTGACCCATGAAATGCTGTGCTATAAGTTATGTTGACTTAAAATGTTAAAAGAATTTTGGAAGATGATAAGCTTCTGTATTACTCTGTTGTTGAGAGAAAGTGTATCTGCAAATGGACTGATTGTGGTTTATCCTTTCCTG